GTACTGCTACTACAGTACTACTACGACTATTACTGATCCCCGTTTAATTTTTTTTTGATCCTGATTTAATTTTTTTTGATCCGTAACCCCGAGATTTTTCCCAAGCTTTGTTGCATTCCTACTGCGTTAATGTTTTTTTTTGATCCTGTTTTCAATTTTTTTTGATCTTTGTGGTTTAATTTTTTTGATCTTAATTTATTTTTTTTTGATCCCTCACCCCATTTTACTCCGAAACCATGTGATTCTTGCCATTTTTGGGATTGCAAAGTGACGAAAAATGCAACAGTCACAAGGATTCGAGCTTCCAAGTGGCAAAAACACAAGGAAAACGCTCCTTCCAAAGCGAAACCGTCTGACATTTGCCACTGTTGGAAGGCAAATCTGCCAAAGCCTAAGGAAAATACGCATTCCAAAATAGATTGCCAAAACCGGAAAAAACAACACAACGCTTCAAAGTACAAAAAAAAACCATGGAAAATCAAGCATTTTCTATTATTTGAAGCGTTGTGTTCTTTTTTTTCCTGTTTTTGGCAATCTATTTTGGAATGCGTATTTTCCTTAAGTTTTGGCAGATTTGCCTTCCAAAAGTGGCAACTGTCACACGGTTTCGTTTTAGAAGGAACGTTTTCCTTGTGTTTTTGCACAATCGCATCCTAAAACTGGCAACAGTCATACGGTTTCGGTGTTAGAGGGGAAAAATTGCCGCGCAGTTTTGACGCCTTAGAGTCAACCAATGACGCGGAAGAATTTTCCTGTCGATGTGTGGCCACTCACAGCACTTGGGCAAATACATGAAAACACTCAGACGTGGAAGCAGTTTTCGCACACAGCACAGCGAAAGAGACAGCACGTACCACTCAACAGACAACATCTTGCGATCCAAGTTCAAGTCCTGCAATAAGGCAACAGCAACACTACGTGTGACTGGACCCCCACTGCGTCCGTCCTGAGTAGCACTGGTCGGAGTTTGTTAGTACGAGTGTGAGTCTCGTGTCTGTGCGCAGCATGTTCGACGCTTGGAGCTGTACCTTGTCTTATTTTTGCCGTCTGACTTTCCTCCCCCGCGCCCCCTCCATTTCAATGTTGTTGCGGAAAGCCTTCGTCCACTCCGAAGTGCGACGGAACGTTCGGTGCTGCTCCGACGCAAACCTCCGGTCTGCGTGACTGCAGCTGGTCGGCTGCCAGCTTCCAAGAACATGTCTCGCCGCTATCCTGGCAGAACATTGAAATTGGGGGGAAGGGGGCCGTCGTGCGTGTGCGACTTTCTCATGGGCTTTGTTTTTTCGACGTTCAATTCTTGGCCGATTTGACGGGCTCATTTTCGAGACCGAAAAACCCTTCGAAAACGTGGCCACCGCAAGGACCTCCCCGCAGGTCTGCTGGGTTAGGTGCTGTCACGAAATTGAGACGCGTGCTGGCGAATGCTTGCGACGAACTACAAGGCAAAGTGCTTCGTACTCCCTCCTGGTCAAATTGCCAAGTGTGAAATTGTGACAACGTCCACTGGCAGCCAGCAATCTTCCGCGTCCAGGTTTTGAGCCCGAAACTAGGGTTGATAAAGTGAGGAGAAAATGGCTTCAACGCACAGGCCTTCAAGTGAACTTGAAAATTCCGCAAACCGAAAACTGTTGTGTGACGGAGACGTGCTTGAGCATTGACGGTTGTCACTGTTTCTGGCCATAATGATAAAGATCCAGTTGATATGAGACCTTGAATGAGAAGCAGCAAAACTTACTAAAAGGTAGAAGTATCGGGTGACCTTTGGAAAAGAAGTGGCTGTCGAACTACTTGGAAGTGCATCCAACTCACGATGGAAAAAAGTTACAACGACGGTTTGTTTCTCTCATTTTCCTCCATTGCTAAACTGCTGTGATCTTCAACTGTTGTTTCCATCTCTGCTCACTTTCTGATTTAGAAAGGTGCCTCTTGTTTCATACCGTGCCAAACATAGTTTGAAGTTTGAACCTGCGGTTGGACTGACGGATTCTAACCTGGGTAACGGGTTTGGATCCTGGATTTGGACTTAATCTGGAACTTGGATTGTGATTCAAACCTTGTCATCAAGTCAGCAAGCCAGCAGTTGGCATTTCATATCCGATCCATTCCCTTGCAAATTTTTTCAAAAGTTCACTCGGCTTTTAAAAATTTCTTGCGAGAACACAAAAATCAAGTGCCAAAGTCTGGACCGGGGGTAAGTTTGCAGACCTAGCTACTGCAAAGCAGAGCCGACAATGCTCTGGCGTCGTACGTTTGTCTTTTGTTTGTTTTGGCCATGAAACTAATGTGGCCAATGGTGCACAGATACGAAATATTTTGGCCGGCCAAACTGCTTGAAGGCGGGATGGCAACCCATGCTCTGCTATGGAAACAATACGAGCCGGGCCGTAACGCAATCATGCCATTGCTTTCGCATTGCGCCATTTTGTCCTCACCTGCTGTTGGAAATTGAATTATGGCTGGAAAGCAGACGCCGTCTCGGAATAGTCTGCCGCGGCAATTGCCGATGCACTCCGGGACGGTCTGCGTTGGAGGAGCGCCGCTCTAGGAACAAGAGGGTTCTTCATCTTAACTTCGCTTCCACTCCTTCCAGAGCTGAGCTTTGACACCCACAAGGGATGCGGTGCGTGTCTATGCTACCTTCCTGCGATGGCTGAATGTCATCTCCACAGCTGTCCTGATGTGAGCTGAAATTTTCGTGCATAAAGTGTCCTTTGTTCCGCAGCGTCTGATGTCACATGCAAGCATGCAGCTTAAGCCAATGCAACTGCGACACCCGCACTTGGATACAAAGTGCGGGAATGAGCAGAATGTGTTATTCGCTTCCGGGCCAGAAACACTCCTAAGACCGGCTAACATGTCCAGACAAGCCTGCGTAGTGCAGCATTGCAGTTTGAGTTTCAGGCCTCTGCAGTTTACCTAGCGAGATCGTTTAGACCATGGTGGCCTCCCGGCCGCGGCACACAAGGCAGTCGGAAGTATATTATGTGATACATAGTATCGACTTTCATTGTTTGCATGAGGAAGATATCTGCCATGCGCTTGCGCAGCAGGTGTTGGCGAACTTCGTGAAACGGGCATGCTCCTTTGCGGTCCTTGCTGGGCCTCGAGGCATCAAAGGCCTGCATGGAAGGTGTGCAGGGGCTGCTCTTCGCCACGATCGCACGTGATGGTTTGTACCACGATCATATTTGAAGTTGTGCTTCGGATATTTGCATCGCGCGTCCTATCACACGCTGCTTCAACCCCCGGCTGTGGGACCAGCATCTCTGCCAGGACATGGGCGGCAAGAAGAAGACACTGCGCGAGATTTATCGCAAGCTCATCGAGGCTGCCTGATGCAAACAAGAACCGCACATCGATTGGACCACCAGCTGCTCACCAATCACACCGCTCTGCTCGGCTCGAGCCATGGCTCTTGTTTGTCGGTGCGTGAGATCACATACTACAGTCCTTGCATGAACAATAAGTTTTGCACCAGATGGAGCCTAGCACATGTCTCACATCTCGAAGGTCTTATACACTGTTAGAGACGTCTTGGAATCTGTAACACGCTGGACATCGCTGCTGTCATACGATGCCCTGGAGCTGTCGAGAGCATGCGGCGCTCCAGCTGCTGGGTGCCTCACATGCAACATTCGAGAACAGCCACCTGGATGTTTCGTCTTCGAGCAAATTGCTTGTGTGTCGTCTTCGGCGGACTGCGAATCAATTTCGCCCTGGACACTCGTGTTCAAACGCTTCAGCTCATCCTACATGAGCATGCGTTGTTTCCATGCCCGACACAGCGATTTCGTGCTTGCGTGAATAAAGTTGCTTGGCTGTGAGTCTGAGTTTGGAGATAGTTCGGCTGAATGCTGAGGGCCCGTTCTCGAAAATGACGGTGACAATGGCCGTTGCGTGTGGTGTAAGGCAGCGAAGTCGCCAGAAGTGGCCTTCAGCATCAACAGCATAGCTGATAGTTCCGTATTCATGTTACTTGTAGCCCGAACCATGAAGGCACCACATGCTTATGCCACTCTCCCGTGGTTTCGCGCTGCCACAATTTCAGCTGCCTGGCTGGCTGTTCCGATTGGTTTGATCTCCTTTGTTTGCATCGCGGGTTTGCAGCTGCAGATAGGTGTTGCATCAGTGTATCTGGAGCAAACACCTGCCAGTGTGTACACGATCTTGCCGCCGCACTGTTGTCAAGGCCATCGTTGAAGGTATTGTCTTGGAACGTTGCGGGATTGAGGCCTGGACTTGAGCTGCGGTTTGGTTTACCATGAGTCATGAGACTACAGTGCCGCCAGGTCGATGCTGAAACAGGATGATGGCGCAGAGCTTTTTGCTGTCGTGAAAGATGAACAACCGGACATCACCATCTTGCAGGCATCGACCGGATCCTCTGCAACTTTTGTGAGTTCCACATAAGACAGCCTTGCGAGGAGCACAAGCTTCAAGACGTTCATGTTCCGAAGCACGAGCCCAGCGTCCTGCGCATTTTCGATGAAGCCTGCCCTGGCAAGAGACCTTACCGCGCTCCACGTTTGAATTTGGGTTGGTTTGTCCTTCACGCAAGTACAGGTTAGTGCGCCATCGTGTTGGAACAAATGTGGTCTTTCACTCCATAGTTGCCCTGCCCAGACTGCGTACGGGATAACTCATCAGTTTAGCGATCCCAGGTGCCACTTGGGCCGTTTCGTCACAGCGTAAAGGCCATTGCAAGATGTGATCCAGGACGTTTGGAAGCAGGGAGCAAAAGATGGCATCTCTGCCAGGCTATTCGGGCACCTGCGCAATCTACCACAGCGATGCGGGAGGAGGCGTCCTTGGTGTCGCCACTGGAGGAGTCGACAAGGTGGACCAATCCGAAGGCAGAAGCGCAGCTTGGTGAGTTTCTTGTAAACTGTTTGCATCGCTTGCATCTTGCCTTGGTTTGCTTGGCAATTGAGAAGAAATGTATAACCAAGCTGTAAATTCGGAGCGAAGGTTTGTCTGAATCTGGGCTGTGGTCTCCGCGTGGTTGGCGTCTATGTGCCAAACTCTGGGCAAAATCTGTCACGTCTGGACTACCGGGTGAAGGCAGCTGGGTTGCAGTTCTCGCAGCACCTGCCAAGTGCACATTAGGCCCCACGTGAAGCGCGAGCTCCTCCCCAGGAGTGGGACAGGAACCTGCAGAGCTACGTGGCCGAGGGGACGGGCTCTGGTGTCCTCCTGTGTGGAGACCTCAATGTGGCACATGAGGAGACCGAGCGGAGTGCTGAGAAGGCGACGTCTTAGTTTTTGTTCGCAATTGGCTTTGCTGGATAGGACATCGATATCTGGAACGCAGCCACTCCTCGCATCCGCAAGCAAGCTGGGACCACTCCACAGGAAAGAGAGAGCTTCTCTCGTTTCCTTTCAGAGCTCCCCGTCGGTTGCAGTGTGTTTTCCCATGGACATGGAGCATCAGTAAGCTGCAACCTGGTTCGTGCGAGCAATCAGGCTGGACATGGTGGATGCATTTCGCTGGCGTTATCCAGATGTGCCAGACGCATACACCTTCTGGAGTCGTCGAGCCCCGACGAGGTTCTGCTTTTCGATCGAGCCGTCGGCATGCTGTGGCATGTCCGAGTCTAAGGACTAAGACACCGGGAGGTGAACAAGGGCCTCCGCCTGGACTACTTCCTTGTCAGCCGTGCGCTTGCCAAGGGAACCTCCCAGGCCGTACAGCTTCAACTTACAGCCGAGCAGAGTGTGGAACCGGATTGCAAGCTGTGGTCACTGCAGGCCACTCTTGATGACTGTCGCATTTTGGATGGCTATGATGGCAGTGATCACTGTCCAATCGTGTGTTCTCTACGCATGTCCTCGTCTTAGGCTTCGGATGTGAAAACACGGGACTGTCGAATCTGCGTGCAGTCGGAAAAAAGCAACTCCCAACTCTCTGCCTGGAGCGCTGCCTTTTGGCAGGCGGTGTATGCCAAGTGGAACGCTGAGAAATTCAGTGATGTACCCAGGCAGGAAGCTTTTGCTCCTTAATTTCGTTGCATGCTACATGCACGTCACTTTAGCATGCCAGATTCTCAGATCGAATTCGATACACTGGCATGAGGAAGGGATAAGACAATCTCGGAGATGGCAGCAGCTACAGTGAAGTTCCCAGGTGCCGTGTGTTTATGACCTGGCCAGGCTTATGGACAAGTACAAGGATCAAGAGGCGAGTCCATGGAGTCCATGGGATGATGTTCGTCGTGCTTTACAGAAAGAGACAAGGCTTGACTTTCCGCGCACTGTTGAATCTGTCAGGATGAGATCTACGATCGGATCGTGCGGAAATATGTGTCACGCCCCTAGGAATGTACTGTAGCAAAGGTGTTTCAACAGGTGCCAAGAAGTGGCTGGCCGCTTTCTCGTTCCGGGTTCTCAGCTTGCACGAGGTTTTGCCGGTCACAGAAGGACTGGCAGCCGCTGATCGAAGCCATGTGCCATCTTAAGTTTGATCTTCTTGGATACAGTGGCAGGGTGGTGGGATGAAAGCATTTGCGTTCGAGGTACAGACGCTTCAATCCCAGTAAGCTCCAAGAGCTTGACAGTACCACAGCTGCACTGACGTTGCTTTGTGTAGAGTCCTGTTGCGCACATCTTGCAGAAACATCGCATTGGTTCTATGACTGCTCTTCGTGCATTGGAATTGCGATGCTGACCCGAAGCAAGTTGCAGATTTGCTTGGTATCCACCTCCAAGTCTTTGGCTTGCAGGGCCCGGCCCCGGTTTTCCCAAACTTTCTTTCCTCTCCGGGTCTGCTTCGAAGTACAGATTCTGGGAGCTCCCTGCACGCTCCAATGCGATGAAGGCCCTGTATACGTAGACGGAACCAGACCAAGCGCAGGGCAGCCCGAAACCTCTAGAAAACAAACAGGCATCTTCGCCAAGTACAAAGACAGCGAGGCCTGCGACAAGCAACAATGCATGTTGTTTGCTTTCCTTATTCGTGAGTATGAGTGTGCTTGCAGTCGCTGGATGTCATATGTTTTGCTGTTAGCTCACTTGGCTCCGACTGATTGGCCAGGCTGCTTTGTATAGAGCGCTTTGTGACAAGTGCCCCGTCGTAGAAGACGTGCATGAGAGTCAGCACTGCTGACAGACCGACCGCGAAGAGAAGCGCGTGAATGAATCCTCCAGGTACTTGCAGACATTGTCCCCAGATGGTGAGCCCCTGAAGTTGGCGTCTAAGAGCTGGTTTAGTCTAATTTTAGGTCCATGGCCGGCGTTCTTCTTGTCAGGTTCAACGTCTGGGAGTTGGGGACGGACCCGGTGGAGGTAGGTGAGGCCTCGGAGCTCGAGGTCTTGGACTCGCCGCAGGACATGGCTCAGAACGGAGTTGATCCGAAATGTCACTGCAAGGAGTGTGCAGTGGGGACCCTTGTTTGCAGGAGGAGGCTCCGCCGATTCGATTGGTTTCTCCGAGCCCATCGCAGCCAGAGGTGCTCAGCGGGCGTTTCTCATAACTGATGGTTTTTTAGGAAATGAGCGACCAGGATAATGACCGGGAGAACAACGGTGCAGAGGACCCCAAGAAGGAGCAATGTTTGCTGGTCTCACGCAAAAGCACAAAGGGTTTGGTCAGCTCACCGCACTCGCAGGCGTTTGATTCGAGAGGCTTTGCCTTGCAAAGGATCGCGAGCAGTCGGAGGCACGGACGTCGCCCCACGAGGAGCAGGATGCCAGGGTAGCAACCTCATGGTCAGCACCAGCGCTCGGTGCAAGTCTCGCGCGTGCCGTTGAGAGCTTCTCAGCCTTCCGTCTCTTTTGCAATGAGGCCGAGCAGCCCGGCGCCGCCGAGGAGTTGCTCGCCGCATCCTTGGCTGCCCTGGATGTCGGGCGCTCGAGTCGCTCACTTGTCTGAGCTGATCCGCCAGCTTGTCGGCTGAATTGATTGGACCTGGAAGGGAAGTCATGCTTCCGTTCTTGAGGCTGAAGGTAAAGAAGAGAAGAAGAAGAAAAAGAAGCGGCGGGATGGCGAGGCCAGCTATGGCAGGTGTTTGACCGAAGTTCCACAGATGTCTCCGTCCATCCTTGGAGAGAAGCTAACCCAGGCTTTTCCTCCGCCGCTGCCGCGGCCTCCCAGGGAGAGCATGGCAGGCGGGACTTCGCGCAGGGGTGCTATGCCATGCTCTCAGCTAACAGAGTGTGGCGCGAGGCGTCAGTGACTTCCCCGACGTGATTCTCGGCCTCACCCAAGCGCACTCAGCTTAGCCGAAAGCCTTCAGCCTTCAGTTCAGGAGGCAGTAGAACCTTTTGCAGAGCGCAGCTGGGCTCACGGGGACTCAGTCAAGAGTCGAGGCCGGCTGAGAAGCTGCCGGACAAGTCAAGGCACAGTGTGAGAGTGGCGCGTCCGAGTTGTCCTTAGCTGGCACGCGTTTCACCTTAGAATGAAGCCAGGGTGTTCTCCTTTTGAAGACGCACTGAGGTAGGTCTCAAAGGGATCTTGGTCACAGCCATCGGCTCGCTCATCTCGTCAACCGAATTTCTGGGGAGGGTTTGCTTAAACTCGATCCATTCCAATTGCAGGGCATCAACTGTTCAAGTGTTACCCCCCATGCCACACGCATGTTCGATCTTGCCGAATGCCGAACAAGTGGTGAATGCAGCAACACCTCTGCTCTCTCTGAGCATCGTCTTGAATTTGCTCGAACCCAGTGTGTGAAGATTTTGAGGCTATCAAGAGCTGCTCGAACGAGCAGGGTTAGCCGGTTAGCCGTTGTCTAAGAAATGGAGGCAACTAGCTTTTGATTTGCAAGGCGAGCAAACAACTCGCTTCGGCCAAAGGCCGTTCGTGCCTCAGAGGTGTGTTGCTCTCTTCCAGCATGTGCAATATGAACTTTCAATCGCTTGTTCCTGTTCTCCCCGTGATGCACGCGCAGGCACCGCGCCCTCCCTTGACACAGCCTCAAGAGGCCCGAACGTTCTTTCAGGGATTATGTGATGCTGCTGTTGTCGCAAGTTTCCCATGATGCCTTTCTCCCTGAAATGGTGAGGTGAGTGTGAACTGTAAGTGCGGCTTGAACTTTTTAACAGGCAGGCTCGGGGCAGCCAGTGCCACCGCCGCAGACTAAGCGGAGGTCATGGTTAGTAAGTAGGGCACATTAGGGCACCAACGGACTAATTTCTGCACACGAAGCCAAGACTCAATGATCTGATTCTGCAACACAGAGGTTGGACCCTGTCCTCGGCACCACGCGAAAGGTCAGGCGAAAGAGGCTTCGCCATATATTCCTGCATCACGTCCCTTCTGGCAACTGCTAAGCTGCAACAGCAAATGGCATGAGATGAACACTGCCATCTGCGAAAAAACGTTTGCGTTCACTTCGTGATGCTTTCCTCAAGCGCCGGCAGGGCCGAAAACGGTGAGAATGTCGAGGCCCCACTGAAGGACAAGTTATGCTGTCATCATGAGAACGTCTCTCTGCATTTCGTGCAGTTGCAGTCCCTAGCTTGTCGCACGGCTGCAGGCGTCGGCACCGGAGGGCCGGAGGAAAAAGCGGCGGAAGGCGTGTGGTGTCGCTTTCCGCCGTTTTTGGGGACGTTCGGACGTTTGTTCTGAAAGGTGGCCCCGAGCCGTCCCGGCAATGCGACGGCTCGGGCCCAAGTCTGCGGAGAGACACGAAGGCGAGGCCGAAGGCCCGAAGGGGCGAGGCGAGGCGGCCCACCCCCCCCCTGCAAGAGAGGCGAAGGCTCACGCTCTGCTGCACTTGCCTGCACACTCTGTTTGCAGTTGCACACTGGAGGTCTCTCAGACGGCACCGTCTGGGACCCGATCGCATCGCGCACTGCGACTCTCTAAGCTCCAAGTCTCTGGGGCTCCTGCGCCCTCCGGAATTCCTCTGAGGGCTCTGCCGCCCCCGACCTTGGAGCAGCGGCGATTGCAGCTGAAAGAGAAGCTGCTGCGGCCTCAGAGCAGGGGAGTCGCGGAGAAGTTCCGCTGGAGTTTTCTCCTTTGAGGTTTGAGTTGAAGACGCAGATCTCCACGCAGGCCTGGACCTTCCTCGGCCGTGTGCCCTGAATGGTTCGGGATTCCTCAAAGCCCACCGGAGGCAGTTCCAAAGCATGGTCCGCCAATGCCATTGCCACGCCAGCTGACTTACCTCTCTGGCTTCCGTGAAATGCAAGCACACCATGTGGAAGTTTGGCCACTGACGCTTGGTGCTTTATGGAGTATTGCATAATATGGCACATTGCGCCTGGAGCATGTCTTTGCACGCATGCTAAGCTGTCACAGCGTGTTCTACCGAAGCCGAAGGCACCACAGTACACGAACGAAGCACAAAGGCAGCATGATTCACGATTTATGCAGCTCAAGCAAATGCAAGCGGATACCCATGGTAAACTGAAGATACGGGATGTCCACTGGCCTATGTTCAACGATGCTAACGACGAGGAGCACTGTATTGCGCTGCATGCACTAGTTAGGTGGAACCCAGCCCAGACTGGGACAAGACAATCAAGACGACACGAAAGGACCAAGGAAGGCTCGTCAGGGGACATCGCTTCTCGACCGGTGGTGCTGGTATTGCTCATATACAAACAAGAACCAGTGCTACATGCAGCAGCTACAAGTAACTGCATCACAAGGAAATGTTCCACGGAGCAACATCCTCTTGGCGCCGTCTAGCAAACTTGTATGGTGAGCTTCTGATTTCGTGTTAAGTCTAGGCAGCCACTGAGGCCCTGCTGAGGACTTCTGGGGCCAGCCGATGAAGGCCATGCTTTGCTGTGGCCTCCAAAATCGCTTGGAGACTCACAGGTTTTTAGCATGCACATGCCAGTATCATTACAATTTCACGAGGCTTCTCATGGAAGTGCGTTCGAGCCGGATGCGGATTCCTACTCCTACAGTGAGGCCGTGCCATGAGCAATGGTCCATTGGCTTGACAAGCTTTGACACAGCCGTCTTGGCACCGTGTCAAGCGAGTGGCCGAGTTTGGCTGCAGTTACTCTATCGACATACAGGTTTTCATCCTCGTTAGAGACAATTGGGTATGCTTGGTTCGCTGTCTGCCTCTTAGAGGCTTAGATGGCACCAGGTGCACTTAGCATATTGAGCCAGAGGGCTTGGTATATAGTGGACATAGCCAAGATGTCATTTGACAAGTTGCGAACTCTGCCAGTGCCCGTTGGAGGACGATGCGGACTGGTGTGCAGAGCGTCAGGCGGAAAGCAGGACCGCTGAGGGCTGGCAATTCCAACAAAGCTTGTTTATGTTGCAGAAACCATGAAACAAGCATGCTCTGAGGGTAAATGGGACACTAGTGTGTCTGTTCGACGACCGGCGCCTTCAGGACAGTTGTTTTGAGGAACAAGTTGGAGGCGTGGTTTTGGAACCTGAAGTGCGTTGATATCATGCCTCACAATGCGGGTTGTGAAGGCGCAACTTCGTGCAAAACTGATGCATACCATTCATCCGAAGGCAGGGCAACTTGCAATTCCAATGATTATTTGAAGACTCCTCTTTTTGATCAGGTGCCGGAAGCCGCGTAATTATTCAAGAAAAAAATTAGATATTAACATGTTGAAAAGAGAGAATATTAATCTCTCCAAATATTTATGAAATTAATACTGCTAATTAAAACATTGATAACCTTCATTTCTATCGATAAAAAATAGGTTATATGAGATAAATCGAACAACGATGCATTTTTTCGATCTAATTATATTTATTTTATTTGAATAATTCTTGAAATATAGATTCTGAATTTCTTGATTCTATTATATAATATGGGGAAGATTATTTTCTTCCGAATTATTCTATATTTTTTTCTCTTTTGATATTGATTTTTTTTTTAAAGGGAAGATTTACAATTTAAAATTTTCGATATATGGTTTGAATTTTTTTCGGAATACGAATATATTATTTTTATATAGGCAATTATTTCTATTCTTATTTTACTTTATAGAATATTTCTTTGATTTTATTTTTTATATTTATATTAAATAAATAAATGGAATTTATACTATAAAAATAAATATATTCGTTATATATTATTTTTACAATATAAATGATAAATTTGGATAAAACGAAAAAGAAAATGATACAAGAAATTATAAATCGATAATATGAATCGATTTCTATGAATTTATCTTTGATATATTATTTTTCGAAATAAATTCCAAAATCTCTGATAAGAATTCTGATTTTAATAATTTCGGAGGTTTAGAATTTAGTATGAAAAGAGAGGTATATGAAAGATTATATTTATCTAGATTTGGATATTAATTTTTGTTGTTACTATTAAAATATTATATTTTAAAATCTTATTTTTCTTCGAATTATTTTATTTCAATTATCTTTATTCTCTCTTGAAGTATTTTCTTTTATTTCTCATTTATTTCGATGATTAGATGATTCTTAATATATATTTGATTATTCTAGACACGTTAAATAGAAGAATGAATTTCTATACTTATTTTATGTATTTTTTAACTAAGATGTCGGAAATATTGATAAATATAATGATATCTTGATAATAAGATTTCGCCCTTTAATCTTGATTTATTTAGAAAATATTTCTCATAAATTTCTATATATTTACAAACGTTGGCCTCGATTTTGAAATTTGCTCTATTATTACTTGAGATTATGTTCGTATTTTTCTTTCTTACACTTGCCCTAAATAATCGCCATTTTCGTAATATTTAAAATTATAACATTTTTTTGGTTTTCTTCAATTTGGCACAGACTCCTACGAATATTGAAGAAATTATATGTTTGATTCGCCTATAAATTCCTGATTTCGATCATCTAAGATAATCGAATTCTTCGCTTTAGATCTTAGATTTCATATTTTTAGGCAGTATTATTTCTTTGTAATATTGTAATATCATCAAAAATCAATCTCTCGGTTTATAATTAGAACTTATAAAATATCAAAACCGAATCATATAAAAAGATATTTCATGGCAATCTCTCATCTCGAAATATCGATTAATATGATTCAGAATACGAAAGAAATTTCGATTTCATTATGAATGTCGCTCGTCATCATTATAAAGAGAAATAAGACGATATTAGATATTCTCGTCCATATATCTATACGGCCGCCTCGTAGATGATTCCCATCTTCAGATATTACAAGGAATATATAAATCTAATATCAATTATCAATTAGATTAAGATAAATTATACAAAAAATTTCAAAAATTTTGGAGACTCGTATATATCTCTTCTGGATTTCTCCTATCGTTTTTCATCTCCAATACTCAAGATCTCTATAATAGAGAGATCTCTTTCAAATATAATTATATTTAATGACATTTATGAAGTGCAAATACCCCGCCCCTCCATAATAATTCAATAGGCGATAATTGATTGCAAATATATAGTCATATAAATTCATATTCTATGTCTTTGATCTGTTTCTCTATCGTCGATATAATTCTGGATAAATGATTTAGATTTCCGCGTCTGAATTCAATCGAATTTTGAATTCGAATCGAGATCTCAAATCGAAATTAAAATTAATCTTAAAATAGAAATTCAAAATTATATTTTCAATTAATATCATTTCTTTAGAAATTCTTACAAAAATGACTTTTTTCGTTTCTATATCTCAGAATTAATTAATTAATCAAATATGAGAAAGAATATTTTTCTTTATATATATTTAATATATTATATTAATTTTTCCAAAAATCGTATTGCATATATCTTGAATCGATTTATATATGATAATCTATTAATTCGATATTATTAATTAAATAATTGCAAATGACAAATCTGAAATATATCATAAATAGAATAATAATAATCAAGAAATTTCCAAAATCTCAGCGTCCCGTCGACTATTAATAATACAAGAAATAATTTATTGCAATAATATGTGATCGCTTCATATTCTACGATATAAATCCATATTACGAAAAATCCAAATCGGAATGAAATTTATCTTCGTCCAATCAGAAATTCGTCAAAATAAAATATTTTTGCTGTATTATTAAAGAACAATATAGAAAAAGAATAATTCGATCAAATAAGAAAAATAATTCTCTTCTTTTATGAAAATAAATCGAATATTGAAAATAAATAAATAAATAATTGCTCATTAATATAGATTCCTTAATATAAATAGAAAATTCAAATATATATTATATATAGTATTTCATTTAAATTAAAATTTAAATAAATCTATATTAGTATTTTTTCACAAATAGATTTCAATATTATTCTAAGACCATTCAATATATTTCGAATTCATAAATTTCATCAAATTGTTCTTAATTTTCTTCTTATCATAGAATATTTTCTAATTTTCAAAATAGATTATAAACAATCTTTTTCTTAGAAGAATTCGAATATTCTTGCGTCATTAGAATTTTGCCGAAAATATAAGATAGATATAATCTCATTTTCTCTTCTCGTCTTATCTCGAACGTTCGTCATCTTCCATCACCAATAAATTTCAAAATTTCTTTAATTCAATATTTTTCTTCTATTTATATTGAAATAATTTTTAAATCATATCTTCCGAAATTCTTAATATCAGAAATTCAAAATTAATATAAATAGTCTTAAAAAACAATTAATAAAATATTATTAATATATTCGACCAGAATACTTTATTTTTGTTTTAAATATATAGCAACCGAATTTTTTATCTACAATCAAAACAAAAATAAAAATATATCTTTTAATCATAGAATACGAATTACAAAAAATTAAATAAACATCTTCAAGCATTAGATGGATTTATATTCATATTCAAAATTTTCAAATATAAAGATCGATCATAATCTAATTATCATATCAATGAAATAATTAACACAATATTAATCTAGGTATAATATATATAATAATAAAAAATAATTTAAGTATAAAATCCAATATCCATATTTTAAACACTACTAAATCTAGAAAAGATATAGTAGATTCACAACTAAGTTCAGAATCTTCAATTCTAAATTCCAAATCGCAATTCGATTATCATGCCTACGAAGTAAATACGCGATCAATAATCTATCTTTCTATCTATATATATATATATATAATTTTTCTTTTAATATATTTTTTTCGCACGAAAAAAGAGAGAATCTATATATAAAGACTAGTATTCACATATATATATATTCTAAAGAGATATTAATTTAAATATTAATCCGAATTAATTCATCTTCTCTACCACAAATAATATCGAATAAAAATATTTAAATCCATACTCGCAGACTTTGATTGCACTTCAATCAACTCGCGTTTCTTTCAGGAACGTTGTGCTGCTTCACAATATAGATCTATTCATAGTTACCATCTAAGGGAAGTACAAATTTTCTGAAAATAAAACTATATGTCTAAACACAAGATTCGACGATTGTCGGCTGTGACCGATCGAATGTGGTTCAAGATGAAAAGAGCCTAGTTCGAAGCAGGGATCGTTAGACCTGTTTGTAGGACAGGCAAGTTCAGGGTGGGCAGACAAGTCAAGATTGCTAGTTGCCAAGGCTTATTTTGCTTCTTCTGGTGCCTTCTCTCCCCGCAGACCCTTAGTTCAAGAATAATCGGTGCTTATATTACAAAATTTCAATGCGTCTGAGTGCTTTTAATTACTGCGGGATTCGTTTGTTCCACGTTTTTTCATAGAAGAAGAGTGATAGATACTGCTACTGGATCATCCGCTGGTCGTAACGATCAACAGGTTATGAGGCCCCAATCTACGTCAGCGCAACACTAGCGCAACCACATCCTCCAGAGTTGGAAGCAAAACGAATGGCTCGAACTACAAAGTACAACAGCATGCAACAGCAGCAAGGACTGGCGACGGAGACACCTCTTCTACCCAACGGAGTCCTGGCGCAACATGCGGTGAGAACGCCTTCGGCGTACAGCCCTAGGCATATGGATGCAGGTGGCTTAGACGGCGTACCTCAAAAACCTTGTCTCCGGTGAAGCGGCTTGGTGGGACGGCCCAGCTCACGGATGAGTTGAAGGACGATTTAAGAGGCTTGAGAAGCAGGTCGCGGCCATGTTGTTGAGCGCTCTTCCGAAGGAGGTGAAGGACGACCTTATTGTCTACTGGGTCCAAGGTGTCCACCAGATCTTGTACCGACTAATGGCAATCTTCCAGCCGGGTGGGGTCCAAGACCGTGCTCAGATCCTTCGACAAATGGATGTTTCGAAGTCAGGGGCAGCAGATTCGGAGGTGGTACCGCCTCTTGCAGAGAGCATCGTACCTCGGAGTGACGTTGCCGGACGAGTCGCTGCAGGTGAAGTCTCTCTCGACGGTTGTGCGGAAGACCTCGGAGCAGAACCGCGACTTCAAATTCAGGCTTGCCCTTGCCCGTACAGAACTTCAAACAGACAGGAGGCCAAACCAGGCGAATGTGTTGAAGTGCATGCAACACTTGTTGGCCGAGCTTGTACAGGGCGAAAGTCTTCTGCGACGGCCTCAAGGAATGGAACGGCGACCTCGACGTCTACGGCTACTACGCCAGCGGCTACCTTGAAGGGTGTGCAAAATGCTTAGCCGAAGCCTGGAGCGAAGCCTAAAGCCACTCCTGGTGCGAAGAAGTCATGTCAGTGGTTTGGAACGGATACTGGGTGCCGTAACGGGAGGGCAACGAAAAAGCAGATCGCCTCGCGGAACAGGGAAAACGCTCCGAGACTACCACGGGAGGACGCACGCAACCGGTACTTCCCCTGGCGACCACACCGCACCAGGTACCCCAGGTTTCCGCCACCCAAGCTGTTCAGGCCATGGCACACGCCGCCAAAGAACACATCCCTTTGGAACACCCTGGATCACCAAGGAAACGCTACAGCTACTCGATCAAGCGCGCAAAGCTGAAGCCGCGCAATCCGACGACGCAAAAACCCTCCGCAACAAGGCCAAACGGTCAGCGCGCAAAGATCGGGTCAATTGGGTCCATGCGCAACTCCTTCAGGACCCATCAGGTACCAGCTCTACAGTCTGGAACGCGGTGCGTAGACAAAAGAAAGGGTTCACTGGAAAACGTTCACACCTCATCGTCAATAACGCCCCGGTTCCTTGGTCCAAAACGCACGAGGCAATGCGTGACCACCTTCAAAACTCCCAATGGAAGCGTCCCGATATCACGGAGGAACTGCAAGCGCGCCGACAAGCTAGACCACACCTCTATCCGCAGCAACCAAATGAGCAGCGCTTTACGCTTCAGGAACTTAACGACGCCATTGGTTCGACCAAACCTAATAAAGCCCCAGGCCCAGACGAAGTTCCAGCCGAACTCTTCACAATACTAGACCAGGATTCGAGAGAACTATTACTACACCTTTATAATGAAATTTGGGACACTGCCACCATCCCGGAAGACTGGGGTTGGGCCAAGATCGTTTCCATATTTAAGGGCAAGGGAGCAGACACGGAAGCAGCAAACTACAGACCAATCTCCCTCTTAAATACATCATACAAGATCTTGGCCATCATGATACAAAAGCGCCTCGCTAACCAATTTGATGGGAAACTCAGAAGCACCCAATTTGGCTTCCGATCACACCGCAGTACCAATCAGCCGCTGTTCACAGTTAGGAGAGCTATGGAATGGTCCCTCATGACCAACACCCCATTACATCTTTTATTCCTGGACTGGAAGCAAGCTTCTGATTCGATCGACCACACCGCTATGCTGGAGGCCCTCACTAGGTTTGGGTTATCTGATGTAATGGTCCGCCTCATTGCATCCATATATTCGGCCCCCAAATTTACAGTCCAGGGATACCAAGGAGGGTTAGTGGAAGGCTCAGTGTCGGCAGGCATTCGGCAGGGATGCCCCCTAAGTCCATACCTCTTCATCATGGTACTCACGGTGATGTTATCGGATACTGACCACACCTTACAAACCCAGGGCATACCCACAAATACCTGGTCCGAGGGTTACCCAACCTATGATCTGGAATACGCGGATAACACCCTGCTAATGGCCCTCACCTCTCCGCAGCTCCAAGGTATGCTTAGCGCGCTTGAGTCAGTAGCGCAGGAATACGGGATGAACCTCAACCAAAGCAAAACCGAGATCCTCTCCCACCCCACCTCAGACCACACCTCACTGAAATTCAGAGACGGATCGGCAGTACCTACGACTACTCAGGTCAAGTACCTAGGGGCTAGAATCAGCTGGATTAATCCATTCCACACCGCATTTTACCACAGGCTAGGACTCACAGAAGAAGCATTCAAGAAACTTCGAATGGTATGGAACAGCTCACTTCCCCGAAAAACAAAGGTACACATCTACCACACCGCCATAGTTCCGGTGCTTCTATACGGGCTGGATTCCCTGACTCT